CTGTCAGTACAGAACACCGGGCCACACACATGTACATTACAATGTTGCTCAATGAAATCCAGTCGTGTCTCTCAAGTACGTCACCTGCAAACACTGCCTCACTGGGCAGCCCCATGGCCATGCTGCGAAATGGTGCAACTAACTAATTACTTGATCTTGAGTGACCATGGTAACGGGACTGGATTTCATTGAGCAGCATTACATGACGCATTATAATAATAATCTAAGACTGTACGGGTACGATCGAGTCGATCGAGTGTCATCATACTCATAGATATAATATTGTGACTGTGTAATGTCATGTAGATGAACATTTTTAGTACACAGCCAGTGGCAGTATACATGGTATAGGGACACGTAAAAATGACTCTCTGTACATATAAAAGTTACATGCATGCTGTGTGCACACCTTTTCGATCAGTCAGAATTCTAGAACTAGAATGATCAGAGCTCGTATCGTGTAAGGTGTAGATTGCATGTAGACGACATGACAGAGTACAACAGAAGTACCGACTCTACACTACAGAGTACAGAGTCTGCACTGGGCACATGCACAGTCAGTGAGTGGAGACGGAGAATGCACGGCACTACATGTAGTAGTAGTACTAGTACTAGTCTACTAGTGGATCTACACTGCAGTCTATCACCATGATCACTGCATCAGTCAAGTCAAGTCAAGTGCACCAGTACTGCAGTAGATCTACGAGTCTGTGCTCTACGCTGCATGCATGCTGTGTTGCACGTTGGGCTATGCCATATGCACACTGGATTTTGGCCTTGCCTGCGATCATTTTCACGTTACTTTCTGCGCAAAGAGCGTCAAACGAATGTTCTTTAGGGAGAGCTGTGACCGTCGTCCCCGAGTGTTGCAATTTACTAGGATTCTTCTCCTACCTCTTGCTAGGAAGACAGTTTGCTTGAAGACCACTGCTGCTGCCGGAACTCGCCTCGTCTTCAGGATCTGTGAATTTCGGCAGCTGTCGCCATCGCGCTTCTTTTTGCACTGGAAAGATGTGTGCGTGTGGCGATGCTGCGCCGAAGGAAGAGGGTAGCGAGGCCTAACTCTAAGACAAGGAGACTCAGCCCGTTGACCGGGCAGGTACCTTATAGTGCTGGTAAGAGAGACGGATCTAGAGACGGATCTTACCCTGTACCCTGAGTGTTGGTGATCCTTGACTCTTGACGATACATTTGGCCAGTATTTCGAGCAGCAGCCCCAGCGACGGCGATAACAGCGCCCTAGCAAATACTTGAAATTTGCTGGCGGTTTGTCATCCCTGGCGGCATTGGATGCTGCTGATGCGATGGATGGGAGTTCCGTCAGCCATCTGAGTGCTGACGGCCCATCTGAGGGCCGCGTCGCTGGGGATCCTCCGCGGCTGCAGGTCCTTGTGCAGCCAAATAAGAATCAGAAGCGACGCTATAATAGCGATGGGCCAACACGTGGACAGATCAAGGACGACTCAGGAGAGAAAGTTCCGACGGTACGGCTGGAGAATTTCCCGCATCACGTCCTGATGTACATGATGGCGTGCACGTCTAATGGTGAACCCCATCCGTTCTTTGAGCTCCAGAGCGTGGACAAATGCGGTTGCAAACAGAGTACGCTGGATGGCCGGCCTGCAGTGGTGACCGAAACGTCGCCCGAAAAGGCCATGGAGGCGAGGTTCGCTGCCTGCCTGAAGCGGCTGGCCATGCGCACCGTCCAGGAAACCAACGAGCATGACTTCACGAAGTGGAAATGTGAAAGTGAGAAGGTGCACCTTGGGTTCTTGGCGGTGGCGCTGCCGCGACATCAGCCGCTTGCTAGCTGCTTGTCGAATCCTATCCACATGGTGCAGGGACGGTTACTTGAAATGAAGCGCATCATCCCCAGCACGGGCACATCGGCAGGCGAGAACGTGGTCTGCATCACGGGAAAGAACTTCCCGGCCAGCGCCAACCTGAAGGTTCGCTTCTTCCTGAACGAAGGGCCCGACCGGCCGATGTGGGAGTCCTACGGAGACGTGGACAACGGCGACAGCAGTGAGAAGCATCTGGTCATCACCGTGCCGCGTGGACCCGGTATGTGTGCGCATCGCGAGACTGTACAGGTGGCGGTGGAGATTCTGCCCGCAACCACCACTCAGACTCGCCAGAAAACCAAGCACCTGTACTACTCCTACATGTCGTCGTCGGCCTCGCAAGGAAGCATTGCTTCGCGCATCAAGATGATGCAGTCGTCTATAGCAGAGGTGCGGCAGGATGCGCAGACAATGATGAGGCGAATCGAGCCGAACACGCAAGGGCACATCTCCGAACTCCTACCGGAGCAGATGATGCCGGGCTTCCCTCCGTTTCGAGGACCTTCAGTTGGCCATGGGTATCCTGTGGCGGGCGCCCCGGGCATTCACGATGGCGGACTGCACCCTGCTCCGTTACTCATGGACCCCCGTACGGCGCCAACAGCCAATGCAGCAGCTGTGCACCCCCCGGCGGCGAGTTACACCAGCGAGCTTCA